GGGGGGCGAAGGGCGGATCTGATCGGATCTGACCTGACGTGACGTGACGCACATCCATCCAGTCCTAGTATTGAGGGGAATCACTGCGGAAGAGTACTTTGCTCGTTCAACTCATCAGTCTTCCGCTGAAATGCAAGCAAGCCCCTGTCTCGACGTGGCTTTACGTCAACTTCGAATGAATCTCTAACTCAGCCAACAAGTCTCTCGATGCAAAGAGAGCAAACACGAGTCCTTGTCTTTTGCAGCAAGGGGCGTCCATCCGCCTCTTTCAGCCGGACCGCGACGCTAGTAGTACATCGCCGTCGAAACAGTGAGTCGGGCTTTACAAAAGCTTGTCGAGTCGCAGCTCCGTGCGGACCGCTGACTCTATGGAGTCCAGCCTGCTTGACGTGTACCACGACGTCAAGGCACCTGGCAAAAGCGGGGTACGTGCGTGCGTGCGTGCGTATGTGCGTATGTCTACCTGCCTGGCTTTGCGAGGTGGTCGAACTTGCTTCTTCTCTTGCCAATCTAGACGCATATCGAGCTTTCTGGAAGGTGAATCGCATGCATTGTGATTGCTGGACCTCAGCCAAGTCTCTTGGGGGAAGCTTGGGCGCGCGCGCCTCTTGAGGGCCAGCCCAGAACCGATGATCATCAGTGTGTGTGGCGTGAGCGAGCGGCAAGGTGGGCCATACATGCAGGTGACGGTCATGACGTGGGGGCCGCCCGGACCCGTCATCGTAGGTGTGCACATATGCGTGTCCGTGCGTGGATGCTCTCCTCTTCTTGCCGTGGCAGCACGTCCATGACCAGCCGTGCGGGCCGGGCATAGGCGGTGCATGCTGAGGGGGAACCTCCGCCACGACGTACGTGCGGCTGTGGCGTTCGCTAAGCGCTCCACCTGCATGCATATGATGCAGCTACTCGACCGCTCCAGCGTGCGTGTGATGCAGTCGTGCATGCTGCGCAGCGATGAGGAGGGATCGAGAAGCATGACGTCAGGGCCCCTTCATCTTGGTGCTCTCACGCGTGACGCATCGATCGTCTGCATGCATGGACCGCCATGCCACCACCGCGCGGCCACGACGGGGTTGCCTGAAGGGGTCGAGGTCCCTGCATCAGCTGTACAGCGCCGCCCCCACGATTTGCGAGCTTGAGCAGCGCAGAAGCACCGTACAGTCGAGTACCCACACGCAACGCACGCAAAGCTAGCCAAGCTCAAAGTGATCGAGCAGCATCGCAAATGAGGTCAGTCTTGAGTGTGACGCTTGAGTTCCAGTCACAGCAGTTGGACCGCGAGCACAGCTTTCGTCTGTCAAAAGTCTGACGAAGTCTGAGTCGCAAGGCGTGCATTGCCTGTTCTGGTTCCCTAGCTGTTGGCTGGCTGCTCGTTGACGTGGCATGAGCCAAACCACAGCGGACCGGCTGATCGAATCTGTGTGTGTGGCCAAATGGGCCGTGTGGGAGCTTCGAGAAGCGGCTCGGCAAGTCTGAGTCCAAAGCTGATCGGGTTAGACCTCGAAAGGTATAAGTAGACGTCTTTGCATCGTCCCATCACTCCTCGCACCCATCATCACACATCTTCGTGCAACGCATCATCAGACAACATCAACCAAACCAACCTCCAAACCTTTGCCAAAATGCAGACTGGTGAGCATCATACCCTGGTGGCCAAGAGTCTCTGCCGCCATTCGTGTATATGCTTACTCTTTTGCTCACCTTCTCCTCACCCTTTCAGTTAAGGACGCCGTCAACAACGTCTCTGAGACCATCCAGGGCAAGGGCCACGAGGCTTCCGCCGAGGCTAACAAGGGTGAGCATTTCCCTCACTTTACTCGCCGCTCTGCGCACACGCATGCTAACCATTTCCCTCTGCCACTTGTCACAGGTGTCGCAAAGGACTCCAACGCTTCTCTCGGCAACCGCGCAGAGGCTGCCAAGGACTACGTCAGTGACAAGATCGACCAGAACAAGCACGAGGGCAAGGCTGAGCTCCACGAGCAAAAGCTCAAGCAGTAAACTCTTGATCGCGAATGGATCAACTTGGATACGGACGTTCCTTCATCAGCATCGCACCTTTGAGCGCATGACCAGGACATCATCATGTCTTTGAGTATTGTTCTTCAGTAGTTAAATCAATCGTGTATCTGTCATTTTGCGCGGTGTGTCGCCTGCCTGTAGCTTCGCGCCATTGCAACATTTGACACCTCGCCCGTTTGTCAATTCGCTCCTTTGAAATGTCTTGACAATGTCATCAGTCGGACTTCGTTTGCACGCCCGTCGTTTAGGTAACCCACCAAGTTGACACCGTCGCTTGTCGTGGACGTACTCAATAATATGTGACCACGGTCCACAAGTCGCCGTCATCGCCACTCCCAGCACATACACCAATTCATATAAACATCATCGCTGAACTCCTATTCAGCTGCTCGCGCACAATCTTTGGGCACATCATCACATTCAGCAATCATCGCTCAACTCTGGCGTTCGTTGCGATCCCACGCACGTCCGGTTCCAAGGCATCGGTGCGGCCCCCCAACATCACGAGCAGCGATCAGTACGAAGGTCGATTCGCGCATGTGGGCCACATTCCACCCCAAGCTCATCTCATCCACCTCGTACTTCGCTGCGCCTACATTCCTCCTCCAGTCTCGCACAGCTGAGTTGACACTTGCTTGCAACCACCATCAGCGGCGGCATTGGGGCGACATCGACGCATCAACAGGGAGCATCAGTTCGGTCTTGCAGCGTTCTCCTTCCGCCAAGCACGGCTGCCGTGCGTTTTGCGCAGCCAGCAGATTCGCCACCATCTCGCATCGCATCCTCGTCCAGATGGGATGGAATGGTATTGCCAATGATGGGACGCGTGCACAGACGCACAGCCAGCCGCACGGCTCCTCACGCTCTTTTCCTCTCATTCCATGCTCGTCTATTCTCCCTCGTATCCAGACTCCTAGGTCCCCCTTGCGCCGTGAGCACCTCGACGCCCTGATCGGTGATGAGCAGCGTCTCTTCCGCCGCTGCGCTCCTGCTCCCATCCTTGGTCGTGACGGTCCAATCGTCGGGCCAATCTTTGGTTTTGTGGTTGTTCAGACCTGCATTCAGCATCGGTTCGATGGTAAAGATGTGACCTGGCTGCATGATGCCGTACGACTTGTTGGTAATGTGATGATAGACTACCGGTGCGCCGTGAAACACTTTTCCGATACCGTGCCCCGTGTATGCCTGAATAGAGCGAGCGGCGATCAGAGGCGAAGAAAGATGATGTGAGCGAGCGCCCGTCCGCCCGCCCGCGCGCGCGCGGAAGATCGAGGAGAAGCATTGTAACCTGCTCTTGCTCCTGCTTGAGCTAGTGATCATGCTCACCTTGACCACACTGCACCCCTTCTCCTTGGCCATCGGTTCGATCACTTGCCCTATCTCTGCAAAAGGCACGCCAGGCCCGCATATCGCAATGGCAGCGTCCAAACACTCTCTGGCCGCCTTGATGAGGTGCAGAGAAGATTCGTCCGCAGCTCCTGTGGGGCCCACCATGTACGTCGCGTTCAAATCCCCGTGATAACCCTTGTGGAAGAGCGTCACATCTGCGGGCAGTCGAGCGGTGGGCGTGAGGACTTGCTGCAATGCCATCGCAGAAGGTGCGCTCAACTCACCGAGATTGATCAGGTCCCCATCTTGAAGAGGTCTCTGGTCCGGGATCCCATGACAAACAATCTCATTGACGCTTCTGCAGAGGGCACCGGTCGCAAATTAGGGTGCGCGTACTTGTGTGCTCGCCACAGCTCATTCTTCTCATCGCGAGACACTCACGTGCACACACTCTTGGGAAATCCGTGATAGCCCAATGGGGAGGGATAGCAATCACGCTTGATGGCTTCTTCAAAAACGATCTTGTCTATCTCGTCCGTCGTGATCCCCGGCCGAATAGCCGCCGCCGCCATTTCCAATACCTGTCGAGCGAGCTAGTGGGAGGTGGAGAGGTGCGCATATCCGTAAGCGGGATAGAGCACCATCAGAGCAGCATGACACTAGGACTTTTGAAACTCACCGTGGCTGCTTGACGCACGCCTTGTTGCGTATCCTTGGAAGTGACGACGATGTTTCTGGATTGCATAAACTGCGATGGGGGGCATGCGATGTGGGGGCAGAGCAAGAAGGAACAGACCGTCGGTCAGGGGACCGCATACATTCCATCGCCTTTGACTGCCATTCTCGCTATCTCGAGCTGCCTTCCACCTCCACCCCTCACCTGCCACCAAAATCCCCAAAACGATTCTCTCACATTTTCCTTGGCGTAATTGGGCTTCTCTATATGATCTGGAACGATGCTTTTGGTGGAGAGCGGGTAGTGCGCGCGCACGGACGAGCTGGGCTCGTAGGAGAAGCCTCGAGAGCTTAGAAAGGGATCGTAAATGTTCGCGCTGGTGCTGGTACTCGTGCTCGCGCTTGCTCCGCTGGCAACATCAGCAGCGCCCTCTGCGGCTGCGGGTGCAGTAGTGACTGTTGTGGACATGCTGAAAGACTTGGACGAGGGCCAATGAGCCATGCACGGACGAATGCAATGTAGTGAAGGTGCCAGATAATGAGCACGAGCGCAGTGCGGTGCTAGCGGTCCCGACTCTAAAAGACGAATGCGGTTGATACCACGATGTGCTAAGCTCATCCAAAGACGAGCAGCACGTTGGATGGATGCGAACGTGAGGTGGCGACTGCTCGAAAACGAGTTGTGTAATTGGGTGCGCAGAGAGTGAGAGGTCGGAAGCGCGTGCAATGGTGGAAAGCAGGCCAGCTATGATTGGGATCCTTGATGTGTTTGGTCGCGGACGAGTGTAGTCACGAATCGTGAGTGTGAGTCGAGATAAGCTGATTGACGGCAGGGCAGACTTTGTGAAATACGGTTGCACCCAGACACCGCAAAAATCCCGCGTCACGTGACGCAAGTGGTTGATAAGCGCGCCCCAGAGCTCACGTGTCCGCAGAACCGACCGGCAGGCACGAAGAAAGCCATCAAGTCATGTTCGAGATTTCAGTCACGTCACACACCAGTCACAACAGTCAATGTCAACGTCACCGCTGGTGAGGATAATCGTCCAAATTTGTCGCACCCACAACTCAGAATTACGACCCACGACTCCGCTGCAATCCCTTGAGTCGACGACACCGACCTGCATGGCTCAGCAGACATCTTACGTCCACTCGGCTATACCTTCAGTACGGTCTCGTACAACCCAAGCGCAGACACGCCGCCTCTCGACGCCAGCATCCCCGGCAGACCAGTGTTGCGCTCGACCTCTACCTCACCCCCTTCACCCCCTCCACCGTTACCCACCATGCCCCGACGACTAGCAACAGCGGTGCCCAGTACGCTCTCGCGACTTCAGCAGGGCAACATGCTCAAAAGCGTGCCTCGCATTCTTCCCGTGCTCGCTGAGATCCCGCCTCTTCTCCTCGGTCCACGCGCGCCTTCCGCTCGACCAACCGACGAGCTCTCACCGGAACAAAGAGCGGACACTTCTGCCACGACCCAATCCGTATCACGCGCGCTATCCAAGTCGAAGAAGAAGTATCCCTCGTTGAGCCCGCAAAAGATTGTGTACTTGGGAGACAAGGTTAGGAAAACATTCTTCAAGGATCATCCGTGGGAGTTGAAACACCCTCGTATGCTCGTCGAGGGAAGGGAAAGTCGAGCTGCGAGGGACCCGACGGTGCCAGGTCAACCTGTCGATCTTTCTCTGTGGGGTAATTATCCGACTGCTGAAGAGTAAGTGCATGCGCTCATCTGGCTTTTTTGAAGCATTGTCGCTCATGTACGCGCGCTGTTTTCTTGCTCTTCGCTCGGCCCCTACGCAGCGTCATCTCCTGCGTCCTATTGCAGCACAAGAGAGAAGGCATTTCGCTCAGCGCAGCGTATCACCACACGCTCTCCTCTTTCTACTCACTTCGAGCTCGAGCGGAACATTCGCGCAGATCAGCAGTAGCAGAAGCGCTAGCGTACGGCGCCACTTTCCCCATCAAGTACGGCAAGTCCGAGTATCAGGCTGGCGGAGCTCGAGAAATTTTGCGCTTCACGCTGCGAGAAGGTCGAGAGATCAAAAGCGGGGCGGGATTCCTCAATCCTGACATTATTCCTGCTGCACCTGGAACGACGACGGGTGCTGGTGCCAGCGCGGCAGGGGGACAGACGACGGAACGCAGAGGAAATGCCAGATTGGACACTTGGACGGGCGGCACAGCCTATCTACAAGCTAGCAGAGCTGCGCGGGACGAAGCCAGACGCATCAAAGAGACGACACTCTCCCCTTCGTCTGTCCAGTCTGCTCAGGAAGATCTGGATGGGCAGGGGTCCGACGATGCGATCAGCACGCCTGCGATGAGGGAAGCAGCGCAACAGATCGAGCCTCAATTGTCGAGCGTGCTGGAGACGAAGAGGGCGATGGGAGAGCAATCGGTTCGAACGGCGGACGAGGCGGCGCAGGGAATCAGCGAGGAAGCTGCATTCTCTCACGCTGTTCAAACACCTTTGCGCGCATCACCAAGAGGAGGAAAAGAAGATTAGAAAGTGGGCACCAGTTTAGAGTGACAGTCGGTTGGCTCATGTATGCCTGGGACCTGGCGGCATTTCCAACCTTTATTCATCACCACAAGGCACGTCAACTGGATTGTTTGGATTTGTGAGGCTTGTCTGCGTAGAGTGGGGCTTTGTGTGCGAGGCACAATGTCGCGACTCATTGCATAGTGCGAAGCGCACTGTCCAATTCCCGATCGATGATCGACACGAGAAGGCATTCAACATGTCCCATCCATTTTTCTTCTCGCCTCATTCAATCGAATCGTAAATGGTCGGTAGTGTGTGGTGGGAGGCAAATTGTATCCTTTTACTGTTGGTCTTCAAGTCTCGTCCCCTCCTGTATGTCCTTCGACAAAAAGAGACGGGCGGGGCGATGCGTATCGAATCGATGACTTTGGCCTAAATGATGACTTTGGCCAGGGAGGGGGCCCAAGAATATTTTGAATTTCGAGTCGAGGCTTGAGGGGACGCGGGTCGGTCACGTGCCGTTCATGATGCGCGCGTTTGGGGGTGCACAAGCCACCTACCTATATGGAAATCTGGGTGAGCGTTGGCCAAGCGTAGGTCCAGCAATTAAGCCATGGCGCTGCTATACAGCCAAAGGTGACCACGACGTTGCCATTCCCTCCTCACCGCTAACCGTGCATGACAGCTCGCTTGCTTCAGCATTCTTGATTCTTTGACTCTAACTCTCCATGCACCTTTACAAGAATCAGTTGCGATACCAAGGGGGCTGTTAGAGCACGAGGACGAGACGATAAGCCAAGGACGATATGGGAGGATCAGAGAGCGCGCCAGTTGCGGGAGGGGATCGGCAAGAGGCCATCGCGCCCAATGCGCTGAATGCGCCCGCATTCAACCGTCTAGCCGGTGAGCATCCATCCAGACTCTTCCCGGCGCTCTGCCATAATCCTCCTTTGCGCGCCTTCTTTACTTCTCCTGCGCCCCCCCCCTCCCAGCCATGGCTCACCATGTTCCGGTCTTTGCGACCCCACAACTCTGCACTCCCACATAAACAGGCAAGCGCATCATCCTCGCCTCTTCTTCCCCTCGCAGACTGGACATTCTCAACACTGTCGGTATCAGACCGGAAGTGGTGCCTAGCACATTTGATGAGAATTTGGACAAGGGTGACTTTGTTGGAGCTAGCATTTTGGAATATCCGGCCGAGACGAGTGCTAGAAAGGTGAGTGTTGTTGCCTTCTTTCCTCTTCTTTCTTTGTGCTCTCTTCGTTGGCGCATGTATGCATACCATCTGAGCAGAGCGCACGCGTAGCTTGCTGCGTGATCGTGGGGAGTCGCGGCAAATGCACCTGGGCTGACCTCGTTGCATGCTCTCGCCTCCCGTTCCGTCTCTCGCCATAATCCGCAGGCAATCGAAGTGTACGAAAGGCTGTTGGTGAGCTGCACAAGCCTTGCCAAGGTTGCTGCACTTCATGACGAAGCTCAGCTCAACATCCACCTGTCCTGTCCCTCCACTTTGGCATGTCAGAAAGAGAACCCGGCGGATCCTCCAGATCTTATCGTTGCCGGTGAGATCAGCCTCGTTTTCGGAGCTCGCGGCTGTGGCTCTCTGGATTGCTGCTCACGCAACGTGCCTTTTGACGTGGGCGCCCACGTCGCAGCCGATACGGTGGTGGTGAAAGGCGAAGAGATTCTGGAAAAGCCAAAGGATCGGCTGGATCATATTCGCATGCTGGCCGATCTGAATGATGGAGAAGTGAGTGACGCTGACGAAGGTGAAGGAGCGGTGAGAGGCACAGCGGCTCATTCGTCCGCTGACATTCGTATACTGTTTTTCCGCAGTGCGAAGTGATCACGGGCGTGACGCTGATCCACCCGATCATCCAAGCGCCCGGTTTCAAAGTTCGTTCCATCTCCGAACGCACAAAGGTCTTCTTTGCCGCCAACCCTGCCGAACTTTTGAAAGCGTACGTGGAGGATGGGGAAGGAGCGGATCGGGCAGGCGGCTTTGCGGTGCAGGGGAAAGGTGCGCTGCTGGTCAGAGCCATCGAGGGCGATTACAACAACGTCGTCGGTTTTCCGCTCTTTAGCTTTTGGTGAGTGAGAGTGAGGTCTGCCGGTGGGGGTGAGAGGGATCTAGCGTTCGAAAGCAAGACGAAAGGTTGGCTCATGCTTTGTGGTCGAAATTCGACATCCCGACGCGCAGCGCTTTCTTGCACGAGCTCATCGAGACGGAAGAATTGGAATTCGTCTGAGATTCAAAACCTTCCCCCCACGATCTGCGCCCGTGCCGGCTTTTGGGTCAGAGGTGAAAGAGACGATCTGGAGAAGCGAATGTCGTATTGCGCCCAGCCTCGATGTTGCAGCCGAGCGACGCTGGGGGCGCCAACCTCCCCTCATCCCCTTTCCACTGCGATACTTCTTGTCGAGGCTCGAGCGCTCCAACGCAGAGGTCGATGTGTGACGTCGACCCTAGCTCTCACCGATCCGCGCATACACACACACACACACACACGCCTCATGCATCCTGCCCATCGAGCAAATGATCTCGGATGATGGTCAGGTCACTTCAGTAGTCGAGGGACGCGCTGATTCATACATGCAGACGAGCGAGCGAGCTGTATTCACGATTTCATTGATCGGTAGTCTTGCCATCGGATCGAAAAGGAGCTGAATTTGGAGCGCGAACCGTGCGCAGAGCATCTCTCGTTGAGGCCTGGGGCAGTGCCGGAGGGTAAGCGGAATTCGGACGAGGATCATCGCGCACGAGGCTTCATTGGGGAGTGTTTCTATCGTTGGCATTTCTTTGCGCACGCCTTGCGTCCCTACTCGAACGTGCAAATCGTCAATAACAAGTGTCGGCATCCACGTCGCTGGCGCCCGACCGTCACTTGGACTCTTTTTGCTGCTGCTGCTGCTGCTGCTGCTGCTGCTCTTGTTCCCCCTTTGCGCCCTGCTCCACAAGTCCCAAACTCATGATGCTGCCCGTAGCTCGAACTTCTCCAGCTTCTCGCGCTTTCTTGGCGTCGTGAGCTTGACGCTGGATCCAGTGTTCTCGGATCGTCTTGGCTCGTGCCATCTGATGAGGGGTCGCGTGAGAAGGCAAGGGAGAGAAGCAGCGTGTTCAGCAACGATGGGGTTGGGGCAGTTTGTGGGAAAAGAGTCGTGGGCGTCACGTCATTGGGTCGATAGGATTGCTAGAGGCGGACGTAGAAAGACGAGGGGCTGGTGCGCATCTGCGTCGTTGCGCGCGTCCGCTCTCGTCTAAAGTGGAGTCCACAGCGTCCGGCTTTGGCTCTTCCTGAGAGCCTTGCAGCAGGCACGGCGTCGTCCCCTTCGGTGCATAAACCTGCCCGCTCATCGAATGAAGCATGGACCGAGGCCTACCCGAGTGCAACTTTAGGCAGTCTCTCCACTGCCCGTGCTAGACGCAATCTTGAGCCAGAATGGCCGCTATTGCTGCTCCACCTCACCACCCATTTTCTCGCTGCTCTGCTGTGCGAGTGCCTCGCCTCCCCCCTCCCGCCTGCGTTCCCCAGCGCCGCCATGCAAGCGACGATCGCGCAAAGAAACTCACCTCCTTGGTATGGTGCAAGCACTCCAGATAATCGTCCCTGGGGCGAATGCACTGCGTAGGCGTATCGGCCGAAGCGTAGCAAGACATGAACTCTTGCCAGTTGGCGTAGCATCGAGAAGGACCTGATCGAGGTTGATGGAGGGAAGAGGGTTAGGG